TTGTTTTTTTTACGTATTGATCGAGATGTGGGGCGGCACCCTAGCGCCCTCTATTGGCCCACTGCCACTTGTCTGGACATGTCCTTAGTTTTCCCTGTGTTAATCTGAGTCATAATTTTAAGGAAAAAAGGACCAGAATAAGCAAAACAAACTCTTATTGTAGTTTTATCATGATGTTAAATTTTCCATTTTTATTTGGTAATTTGTTGTTTCAAATATTTATAATTTTAAGGTTGTCGTCAAGCTTCTTTTTTGCTAAAAGGGAACATTTAATACATTTTTTGAGTCGATTAGAATTCAAATGTTAAAACATTACCTGTTTTTCTGTAGATCTTATAATTCGGGGGGGGGGGGTTTCCACCTGGTGGTGGTAGCAGGAAGCAGCTACTGGGAACCTCCAGAATATTTATCAGCTAATGCACATCTTCATCATCATCTTCAGCAGCAAACATCTTTCCATCTAATGTGTCAGAAAGACAGAAAGATGATCTAAAGACTCAGGTTCTGTTATTCTATATATTTTAAAAATAAAATCCTCCCTGAGGGACAGGAAGTGTTCAGCCGTCTGCAGGTGTGGCTCTGAGTACATCTGGTTACATATCTGGCTCCTATTAAATGCAACATTTTCTCCCCTCATCACTTAAAGCTTATTTTATTTATCCTTCTTAAAATTTGTAATTCTTTGTTTTTATGAATGAATCCAAAGAATAAATTACATTTAAAATAATTGGGTCACTGACCTACTTCAGGTTTGGTTTCAGAGTTAAAAACAGATCTGCTGACATGCCTACCTAACTGGGACCAGCTCAGGCTCCTCCCACTTCCAGGTGAGGGGCGGAGCCTTCGCCCCCTATATAGAGTCAGGACACCTGCATGGATGCAAAGCTGCGGTTATTTCTGTCTCATCCTTTCATCAGCAGGTGAGATTCAAACGATGGAAAATTTTCCCTGATACTTTTCTAGATAATTTCTCATTATTCAGTTACAGGTTTGTTTTTTCTACTTTTAAAGATGATATTCAGCAGATTTAAAGGAGCAGGAATCTGTTCTTTTAATTAATTTAGGCTGAATTGCTCCTGTTATTTCAGTGCAGGACGTCCAGGTGGAGAAGCAGGGAAATCTGAGAAACGTCCAGGATGGAGTCCCAGTGGAGGCTGACGGCTCTCCTCCTCACCCTCTGCTGCTGCTGCTGCTGTAAGGAACAGACTTCATGGTCTTCATCTCAACTTCTTCCCTTATGATGTTCTGCCTGTTAAAGAACCTGGAAACTCTGAGCCACAGTCTCCAAACATGCCCACCTGTAACACCTCAGATGATGTAACCTGCCTTGTTAACAGTTTTTCTCTGTCTCAGGTGCTCAGAGGGTCGGGTGGGTCTCTCCTCATGTGGGAAGCACGGCGGGAGCAACGAGGCTCACCATCATGGGAGACGGTAGGTTATGATGATGTAGAAGTTGCCTTTATAGAAAACAGACATATTAAAGTAAATCAAAGTTTATTTATACAGCACTTTACAACAACAGGAAGACCAAAGTGCTTCACAGAAACATTAAAACATTGCAAAAAAACCCAAAAATGATAAGCATAAAACAATGTGTCCTAAGTATTAAAAGTCAGATTAAAAAAATGAGTCTTTAATCTGGACTTAAAAAGGTGCAGATCAGTGTGAACATGCAGACCGAGGGGCGGATTGTTCCACAGGTTAGGTGCGATAACCACAGAGGAACGTTAATACTGGGACCTAAGGATGGACAGAAGCGTTTGATCAGCAGACAGAGAGCTCTGCTGGGGCCATGTACTGTAAGAGTAAAATGCAAGTAAAATAAAATTAGATTTTGATTTTAATTAATAAAAAGTAAAATTAAGATTATATTGATGGATGCTGTAGTTTAAATCAGGGGCCATCTGTGGCCTCTGGACTGACTTTGGGCCTAAATATCAACAAATTAATTATTATTTATCCAATTAATATCTTTGACGATGGAAATAATTTGTGTTTCTTCCTTTTAAAAAAGAAACAACTAAAATATTATTCTCTATAGATTTTAACATACTGTATTTAAATATTATTTCCTAGTTTATTGTTATTCTTGTATGGAGGCTGGTGGCCGAGTGGTTTTACTGCACTGCGTTCGGGTCTCAGAGGTTCTGAGTTCAACTCCCACAGTCTGCCACTGTGGGTCCCTGAGCAAGACCCTTAACCCCCCACTGCTCCCCAGGCGCCGCACAATGGCAGCCCGCTGCTCCCCAAGGGGAGGGGTTACATGCAGGGAATGAATTAGTCCAGTTTGGGATCAATAAAGTTAAATTATAAAATGATATTATTATCATAATATTATTATTATGCTGGTAAAATAAAGTAAAATCAGAGAATTATAGAAATGTTTTAACCGCAATGTTTGCTTAAATAATAAGATGTTGCTTCTAGAACAATCAGCTTTTACTGTCTGGATTAATTTGTTGATCGATCTTATAATTGCGAAAGTTCTTAATATGAGTTGTTCTTTTTTTAGTTTTGAAAAAAGCGAAGCTAAAACCATTTAAGTTCTAAAAAGAAGAGAAAAACATTTTTATTTTCTTCTAAAATAAAAATGTTCCTGTTAGTTTTGGCCTAATTACTGCAGAGGATTTTCATTTATTAACTAAATTACCTGTTTTTGACTCTTTTAGGCATTTGCATTTATTTTGTTTAATATTTAATTAGATAACTTTTGGTCTTTCATATTTCGTGCTGTAAACTGTGTGTGAGGGCAAGAAATGAAAGGGTGAATTTTAGTGAAACTTTGCCAAAAAGCAAATAAATTCACAAAAACTCTCATTAATTCAATATAAAATAATTTATTAACATAAATCATTAAGCCTCAAATTAAACAAGTAAAAACTCTTAATTAATCGAGGGAAACTCAACTAATTAGCTGCAATATGAAAAAGAGACAAATGCTCAGAATGGATTTTATGTTTAAGAACCAAAGTTTAGTTTAATGTAATTTATTAAATTAAAGTAGCTTTAAAAACTAGCTTAGAAAAGTTGGAACATCTTCAATAAAAGTCCACAAGGTGAATAAAACATTTTTTTCAAACCAAGAAAAATGAAATAATAATAAAACTAATCAGAAATGATTACCTGTTCATAAAGTTTACTGCAGCTGAGCGGTGATTTTCCTTTTATTATAAACAGGTTAGGAACCCTGAAAAAAGCAGGAGGAAACTTTATTAAAGCAGCTTTTCAGCAGACAGGCGGCTTTGAATGAGCTGTGGCGCTAATGGCTAATGGCTAACAGGTGGAGCTGGTTCTAAAGGGCTATAGGTCATCGTTTAGCAAATCAGTGTCAGAAAACACGGCGGCCATTTTTCAATTCACAGAATAAATCTGGGTCAATTGGAGCAGAAGCTTAATGATGACATCACTGCCCGCTCGGCTCGTCTGGAGCTGCATTTCACCTCCTGTTATTAATAGTCTAGATAATAATACATTCTGACTTTTTCCATTTAGTGGGTGGATAATAATGAAGACAGTTAGATAAACACAAATTAAATGAACATTTTGCCAAATAAAACAATAAAATCGTCCATCAGAGCCACACTATGCAGAGAGAGGGCCGCTCCTTCTATAAACAGATAGATGCCCGTTGAGGTCATTTAAAGTCTATTTTTCGTACAAAACTAAAGGGATAAACGCTAATCCGACATTTTGCGGATGCGTAATGACTGTGGGTATGCTGGTCTGACGGGGGTATGCTCACCCGAGAGAACACCGGCACCACCACAACCCTGACAGAATAGGCGGGAGAAGATGGATTGATTAATTATAATTAATCCAATTATTAACTTAACCCATTTTTCATTATAAGTATTGTAATAGTTTTTACATCCCTAATTCACTTAAGGTTTAGCCTGGTGAGACCATCCTGATCTCGCGATCTTTCAAGGTTTCACTCGCAGATCAGTCTGGAGACTCTCCGTTAAAGAAAATTTGGAGCCGTTCACCAAACGAACGTCCAATCAGCGTTGGCTTTCAGGCGGGTTGAGG